GTGGCATCTAAAGAAAACCCTATTTAAGTTTTCTCCCAGCTGCACATATTTAAAAGGTCTTGTAAGAATATATGTACTTTTGTTAAGTTAAGTTTGAGGTGAAGTGCTTTTTAAATTCATCAATTTGCCTTGAGACGTCAGTGATTTGCATTGAAACGAGTGCCCATGTTTAAATTTGCATCCCAAGACGTAATCCAATAACTTTGTATACATTTAAACACATCTCTTTGAAATGCATCAAATGAAATCAGATGGGCTGTAATTTAATTTAATTCCCTACTCTTCTCTTCGCTTCCCTGCTATTCTTCGCTCGACGACATGTGGCAAATCACGTATACGCCCGTTGGCCGCCACTCACCTGTTGCTGGGCCAAGTGAGAATGATGGGTCGCCCGTATCGTATGTGACATTCTGGTATCGAAACACGCACTCGGCATACAAATGCTTTAAAAAGATGCGCAGATTATCCTGCGTTTGGGCCTGCGATGCCACATCCAAATTTAGCGGCTCCGAATCTGAAGAGGTTGTCGCCATCGTGGGTTGTTCGGTGTGAGTAACTGCTGTCATGGGTTGGTGCACTGAAAAAATAGACTAGCAGGATTGGTTTTCAGCTACAATGGCTTTAGAGGTAAGTACGACAATGAATTCGCCACAAATAATCATTGAAAGCTTAATCAAATTTATTTTACATCAAGATATTGACTTGAACATTATTTCTCGCAGTATTTCGCCATGGCAATGGGAATTTCAGTCGCTTGTGGCTGTGCATTCGTGTGTGCATTTCTAATTTGGTTAGGCTTCAAAGAGTTGCTCGCATTGGGCTGATATTTGTGGAGTGTGCCTGTCTGCGGGGAAATGGTGCCAAAGGAAATGGAATATCCACACGGGGCATGGAACATTCCCCCAGTCCTGTGAACCACCACCCAGAATATCGGGGCTGTGTGTGTTGTGTGTGCCGAGTAGGTGTCTTCCACATGTTGTAAATCAGTTTATTGTCTAATTAATGGCGGTGGTTAATTGTGTCGCTATTTCTGCAGCCGTGGTTGGGCGAACTTAATTGCATTTCGTCACACAGCGCGACAGAGCAAATGCCACGGGGCAAAAACTCAAATGAAATGCACTTCGATCGAGGGGCACACGCACACTCACGCACACACACGTGGCCCAAAAAGCGGTATAAGCTACAAAGTTCTTGCCTAACCAGGTTATATTTTTAATCAAAACTCATTTCACTTGATTGAGTTTCCACAGAAGCCTGCACAAGCAGTGGAAAAGCTTGTATGCACGATACACACATACAGCGTAGATGCTTTTCCCGCTCACAGGCTAAACTTTAATTTGCGGCATTAATTTATTACAACGAACTGGGACAGTTTCCCATGATGGATATGGCGCCTGGCTAAGCATTCCTGCATGTTCTTTACTTTTGCAAGTGTCTCGGCCGGGCAATTAGCCTCAGGTAAGCGGGACAGGACGTTGGAAGGACCAAGGACAAGAGCGCCCTTTGTTGGCCATCAATTCGAATGGTTGTCTTGAAGCTCTAATGAGCATTAATTGCATTTACAGTACCCCTCCCTTGAATTAAATCCATTGCAGGATTCCCGCTTTGCCATTGCTTTGGGGCAAAATACACTTAAAGTGACACAGAACACTATGCCTATTCAACAGATTGCGTTTGTCGTGCCAGTTACATATAGAAAAACATTGTTACGCGACTGCAAAAATGTTCTTTGAAGCAGGTTTTTAATGGAATAATTATGGTTTTCTTCTTCTGCTAGCACAAGTAATTAAATATGCTTGTATTTGGAAGCAAGCTGCTCTCTTGAAAACTAGCTCGTTTTCACTTTAGCTCGTTTTTACTACAGCCAGTTCTGAAAAATGTTTAATGCCCTTTTGTTTTACCGACTAAAAACAAAAATATATGCAGCCAAATTACAAGAACATCTGGAGCGCTCTGTGTACCCAAGATATTTCCCCACAAAACTGAAGAAGCCCTCCAAGAAATACGCAAGCATCTGCAACATTTTTGGCAAATTGTTTTGTTTCGCATAGTTTTTGATGCTGGATACTTGGGAGAAGAGAAGCCATAGGAATGGGGGCGCTCATTTTGAAGTATTCATAAAGCACAAATAATTGGAAAACGTTTGCTTGCATAAATTATGCACGAAATTGATATTTATTGTCAACAATGGGTGGGGTTAGAGGAAGGACATATTTTTCTTTTGTTTTTTGGCGACGGGACCGCCCGCTGCAAAAGATACAAATGGCCAATCAATAGGGGTGGGCGCAAAAAGCTGCCAGAGGAATAATTATATGTACACATGCTGAATATTGATGATGAATTGTTTTGTCTAGCAGCCTAGCGACAGAAAAAAGAAAAATAAAATAATAGAAGCGGAGGAATAAGGCCGTCAATGCGGTTAATGATGCTAGCGCCATTTGCAGGCCGGAAACGGAAATGCCACGCAAAGCGAACAACACACACACACACGAAGTGAAGGCGGACATGCGAAATAATGCCACATTATTCGGTCATTCTTGTCGGATCAATTATAATAACAAATTACTTCATCCACATCCTCTGGGTCACCAAATGCAATTACGCACGCCGGACTGGCCACGAATCATCTGGAATTCGAATCCCATGAAGGATCTTCTGGGCATAAAAGTTGCCAACGTTGCGAATTATTACCCTCATTTCCTTATTTCCTGCCAATCACTGCCTTATTTTCCCTGTGTAGCGCAAAAACTTTCCGCATAAAACAACCGCAAATAGGATGGGGCTTGAAATCGAATTATTTATTTGTACTGTTTACGCAAATATTTAATTCGATTGTGCACTTAATTAAACGCACAGCAAAAATTAGGTCTCGTGCGGCGCACTAATTAGGCGAAATATTTGCTGAAATATTTATGTTCAAATGTGGTTTCTAAAATATTTTCACCTAATATCCGCGTAATAGTTGTGAAGAATTTGCGCAAACCAAAAACAGATCACTTACATGGGGCCCCACGGGCAATTGAATTCAGTCAATTGTTTGCCACAGCCATTCATTGAAAACTTAAACAATTGATTCTGTTTCACGTACAGCAACAGAGCACAACAAAAAATATTTGAAACACGGACAAAAAATACGCTTTCTGTTATCGGTATTCAAAATTGGCCGCTCCACTCCGATTTTCGCACCGCTCTGCTCCGCGTACTGCAGGCAAATGGTACGGCATCCGGCAAAAATCACCAGCCGATGTTGCTGGCAGGGCCCATGTTTTCCCCATTTTCTCGTTTTCCCGCCCATCCACCCTCTGCACACTGAACGAAATGTATGAAAAATACCATGTCTTGAAAGATTTTATATAAACTTCTATATAAGTAGTCAGTAAATAAACATATTTTGGTGAACACATACATATGAGGCAAAAGAACCAAGAATATGTAATTATTTATATTTTCGTTATGTAAAGCTTGTGCTTTTTTCGAGTGCACGAGTACTGCTTTCCAGAGCACTGCTTGCCATCAACAAGTTGTCGGCGCACTGCTTAGATGCCTTTGTGCGGCAAGTAAATTGCTTGTCGTGGGCGTGTATAACAGTTTTCCAGGTGGGCGTGGCGCACACAGCTGGGAATTCTTAAGAATTTCGAATTTTGTCAAAGGCATTTAACTCAACTGCGGTTTTCCATCTAATGACTTATTTTAATCGTGTTTTTATGGCGACAAAAAATACTAAATACTAAACACAATTGAGTTCCTAAAGTAATTTAAAACTAATCAATTTAATTTCAAACTCGTATACCAGCAATATGATAAACTGTATATAATGGGACCTGAAAGTAATTTGTGAAAACAATGCAAACTGGATTTTCTTTCACTTTGGACCTGTTTATGGCATTAGATGCGATTGCAATGCAGAGTTATTGTTACGCAGTAACCTTTAAGATTCAACTTTAGTGAATTCCTCGTTTCCCTTCCCTTCAATTTTCGATTCATGTAAAATATCTCCGCAAACTTTCATAAAATTTATTCCTGCATAGTTGATGTCCTGCATAGCAAGCGAGTATAAATATTTTATGCGGTTCTCTGCCGTTTCTTCAGACGAAATTGGCATCGACTTAGGATTGAAACGAAATTCTTTAGAAAATGTAAGAGAATTTCATATAAAATGTATTTTACAATTAGCAGCCCACTGTGTGGTGTGAAAATTTCTGCCTTTCAGCTTCTAAAAGGGCATGCCCGTAAAAGTGAATTTATGGCAAACCGCCTTCGCAATAAAATTGTCTGCACATGTCCGCAACTATATGCAATGCACTTTAATTTTATGAATGGTCAGGAGCAAGAACGAGATTGGGTACAGGCTTAGAACAGAGCTTAAAATTTGAATTGTAGCTTGTAACCTAGTATCACTGGTTATCCGTCTACCTAAAGTTGAATTACTGTAATTGTATTTGCTTATTAAAGGAAATTTTCCAGGGAAATTGATGTACTTCTGCTGCATGATTGTGTTTGAAAGTCATTTGGCTTTGATTAATATAAAAGGGATAATGTCAGATATATTCTAACAATTATTAATGTTTTTGGGTATGTAGAGAAGCACTTTGTATTAATATAAGCTTGACTACATTTTGTATGGCACTGTTCTTCAAAAGAAGCGTGGAAAAATGAGTTTCAGATTAGTTAGGTCAGGTTCTATCGACATTAATCCATTTGCCCACGTTAAGAACAATCTGGCGCCAGCTGAGCGGGCTTAAAGTTCTAGTTGGAGAGTTTAAGCAACGGCCAAGTGAACGATTTTTTTGTTAGGTAATGCCATATTACTATGGCATAATGTCGCCGCTCTTCGGTCGCACGTTTCCGAGTGATAAAAGCCGGGGAGTCGGGGTTTTAAGTATGAAAAAAATGCTCTAGAGTGATGTAAAGACCGTAATCACATGCACGTTCCAGACCTCATTTCTCAGTCGAGTCGCTGACCCATAAAAGCGGAGATCTCCGTGGTCAGCGACATCAGTTCCATCGGCAACATGTTCTACCCAAGGTCTCAGTCCAGCTCCTTAGCTCTACTCCTGACTTTCGTCCTGGCTTACGTCGGTGTTAAGGGGGACTACGATTGGTATGGCGATTACTCGGGCTCCGAACTGGACTACATCTTTGCGGACGTGAACTTCGATGCAGTGTGCCCACCAGGTGGATATGCTGTCTGCGCCACCGATGGCTACAACTACCATCGATTCTCGAGCAAGTGCCGCCTGGACTCGCAGAACTTGAAACTGTTGTTCGCCGGAAAGAAGGGTTAGTTCTCCATCCCCATCCTTGCTTATGACAAACGTTAATTTATTTAATTCCCTTTTTTCTTTATAGAACTTGTCCAAACTGACCTGAGCTACTGTCCCTCGTATCCCGGGCAATCGTGGAATCCACCAGCGCCTGCTCATGGCTATCATCCCAAGCCAGTTCAGGATTATGCCCCGGTTCGGTATTCCTCATCCTCTGGCCAGAACTCGTACGCCTATGCCGCTGCCAGTGGGCCTTATGGCGCCAAGGCGCTGGCTGAGGCTCCGGGCCCGTATCCTGTGCCCTCTCCCTCCTATTCCGTCTCGTATCCCGCCGCTCCGGCTGCCTATGCCCCGCTCCCCGTCAAGTATCCTTCTCCGCCCTCGTCCTATCCCGTTTATTCCCAGGCTGTGCCAGCCTATGCCGCCGTTTATGGCAACGCTGGCACTGGAGGCAGATATCCTGGATACCCCACCACAGCAGCAACAACCACAGCAGCAACAACCGCAGCAGCAACAACTACTGCAGCAACTACTACTACTGCTGCAGCATATACTACTACTGCTGCAGCATCTAGTACTACTGCTGCAGCAACTACTGCTGCTGCAGCAACTACTACTACTGCAGCAACTACTACTGCTGCAGCAACTACTACTGCTGCAGCAACTACTACTACTGCTGCAGCAACTACTACTGCAGCAACTGCAGCCACTACTACTGCAGCAACTGGAGCAACTACTACTGCAGCAACTGCAGCAACTACTACTGCAGCAACTGCAGCAACTACTACTGCAGCAACTGCAGCAACTACTACTGCAGCAACTACTACTGCAGCAACTACTACTGTGGAAACCAACACAGAAACAACTACAGACTCAACTGTAAGTAGCCAACTCTAGAATCTGAAACCCAATTTTAAATATTTATATATTTCCCCATTCTAGGGCGATAATTAAATGGAAAAAGCTATCGATCGGCAACAGCAATGCCGAACCCACTTGAAAGTTTAGGAAAACCACAGAAGAACCGCACGAAGACAACACCAAACGAAATAATAATTTTGACCACAGCAATGTGTAGAGTGTTCCATTTAGCCACAATAAAGCAATCAGTACAGCACATAAACAAATTGAGTCGATCGCATCTGGGTCTTAATTTTTGGAAGGCACTGAGAAAAAGTGGTATCATCTTAAAGGAATTGATTCCTAAGAATTCCATAGCATTTAAATGGTATTAACGATTTTGTTGATTATTTTATAAATGTTTTTATAGAACGCAAGATGAGATGATCATCAGCTAATGAAAAGAATCTAAAAAGAACTTTAAAAGAAAAGTTTCTGGACTTATATATCTCAAATTTAAGGCAGTTTTGTGTTTTACGGACTACTTATAATATATATCTGAAATTTAAGGGAGTTTATGTTTTATATATCTGGAATTTAAGGCAGTCTTGTGTTTGCTGAACTTACTTATATATTTAAAATTTAAGGGAGTTTATGTTTTATATATCTGGAATTTAAGGCAGTCTTGTGTTTGCTGAACTTACTTATATATTTAAAATTTAAGGGAGTTTATGTTTTATATATCTGGAATTTAAGGCGTCTTGTGTTTGCTGAACTTACTTATACATTTATCTAAAGGGAGTTTTATGTTTTCCTAACAAAAAAGATATAGCCATAGGTTCTCTAATATCGTATACTGCAAAATGAGCTTAGTGCTAATTTTTTAGTGACGCTTTGCAGTGCTATCACCCGATTTTTTGCTATGTGTTTTGGCTGTTTGGGTGCTGCGATGTGGGCGGCGGTTATCAGCGCCTCTTGCCCCACACAGGCGAACAGGTGTTTGCCATTTTTGCTGCGGCTTAATAGATTTTTTAAGCGCTTTTCCGCTTTTGTGGGCGCCCTTATCTTTTGACAATAAAGCGGCATTAAAAGCGGGTCGGAAATCGGCGGCGGAAGGGTCGAAACAAAGGGCCACAATGGCTGTAGTTGGGGGTCTGGGTCTGGGAGGATCGGCTACTTTTGGCGGGAACACGGAAACGGAAATTAACAAATGCCCCAGGCAGCACTTGGCATGCCAAACAGCAGGGACAAGCGCCCGGCTAAAACAGCCATTTATATTCAAATTGTCTTAACTTGGCTCAGATTTTTGTGCGCACCAGCTAGCATTTTGTTTTTTGACATTATTTGTATTTTATTTTTGTGCCTTCGAGGGCGCCCAAAAGTTTAATGTGCAAATCTGTTTAATTAAATGATAAACATTTAATTTGGGGCCGCCAAGCAGCCAACACTTTGTTTATTTTTGCAAGTGAAGAGATGTAAGATGGGTGTTCATTACCAATTTATGACTTAGGAATTGGTTGTGCAGTTCAAGAATTTATGCCCTTTTCACAGCTAAAATCCAATAAATTGCAGACTGGCACGAGATTATTATTATCATAAATCAAATAAACTGTACTCTGGTCTGGCTAGCTACGTGTGAAAGAAACTTACAGGTGTTTCTTTCTCCAGCGATAAATTGCTGGATTTATCAGCTCAACATAAATAAATATATTTTTTGCTCTTTGTATATGTTAATGCTTTGGCCCCAGCTCAAGTCATGGCAAAACTTTTCACAACTTGCGCATATTTTGTGTAAAATAATTTGTCAAATTTCATTTATCTGATTTGATTTACACTGCCAGCGATGTTGTTTTTTCGCGACACCTCGTGTTTTCGCTTTGCTCATTAAAACTTTGTACCGCCGATGGAGAGTGCGAAAAGTGCTGAGCAGGCGAAAATATCCGGCACAATTGTATGAACTCTTTCTTTTCAGTTTTTCTTTTTTTCATTCATTCAATTCTGGCGCCGCTCCCTTTGGAAAACGCTGAAGTGAATCGCGAAAGACAGCTGCCGTAAAATCGAAAGGCGGCGAAGTTTGATGGCCGATAGCAGATGGCAGTCACAGCATCCTAAGCCAATTATTGACATTCCCTGGCAGCTCGCATAAATCAAAATTTGCACAGAGTCCGCCGGGGAACTGGGCGGGAAATAAGGGAAAATATAAGGAAAAAGAAAAACTCAGCAAGGGGATTAGGTTCGCATTGGCCGCTCTTAAGCGGATTTACATACCAGCAGGTTGGAGATGTGTCCATCGAAAGTGATACCCATTCGTACTGTTTGATGTACAAATATTAGTCAAAGGCGGAGTGTCATTGTTATTTTAATTATATGTGTATGTATTATAAAAGTTTTGATTCCATTCTAACTTTCTAAAGTCTAATATTCCATTGTAACTGATGTAAGTTTGTAAGTTTGTTTTGAATTGGCAGCAAATCGAGTGCAAAGTATTTGATGGTCGCCTGAATCCCATAAATCACCGCTTCGCTTTTAATAAATTTGAAGCGGAACAAGATTTGTGGTGGCTTAGCGGCGGGCAAATATTTTACTTAGATGCCGCGCTGCCACGCCCACTGCCGCATAAATCAAATACCGCCGCTCTGAACTTCAGCTTCCTTTCTTTCCATCTTTTTCAAATATTTTTTCCGCCGCCACGCTGCTCGAATCGATGTTTATGGCCGTGAAATCGGCTTATAACATTACCCATTCCCACTCCGCCATCAAACATATATTGGCCACATATACAACGCTTAGCCAGCGGTTTGTTTATAATTCAGCCGAAAAACGCGGCAAAATCAGATCGCACTTACGGACGCGAACAATGTGCTGGTTATTTTTATTGGATTTAATTGCGAGTACCTGAACTTGGCCAAGAAAACTCGGGTATAAGGTCTCTGCCGGAAGCCAACAACTGGGCAAATCCAATCAAATATTGATTGAAACAGGCGCTGGGGATAAATTTGGATTCTATCAAATGGGTGTAAACAGGCTCCCTATTTGCGTTTAATTTATTGCCGGAATCTCGACCAGCTTTTGCACTTCACTGACAGCTCGCATCCAATATTCATAGATTTCAATTAATTAGCCACCTGACGATTAATGGGAATTAAGCTTTCTTAATCACACGTTTTTATTGATGGCCCACTGGAGAGGTAGTTATACAGGCATCAATTTCTTTAATTATGTTGTGCATTTCACCTTTTAACTTTTGAAAAAAGTTATTCCAGCCGTATAAGTGCTTATAAGCACATTTTTCCAATTAAAAGGCCTGAATATTGTTAGTTAGCTCAGAAGTTTTTTCCACCTGATTTAAGTATATTTTTCGCTACTGGGCTTCATTTCACTGAAACTTTTCTTTCTTTTGATTATTTTTAGATTAAAATGAAAAGAGCAGACGACAAATGAAGCATTAATAATGTTTGCTTTTTAAGTAACTTGTATTTGTTGAGGGAGTAACCACTTTTTAGGGTAATTAGGCCATGAGTATAATATTTTAATGCAAGTGTTTTAATACAAATTCTCTAGGAATTTTGTACGCGGATTTCATACGATAAACAGTAAAGCAGTTATAAGTTGGCCAAAGTTAGGCTTGTCTTAAAATATTTTGTATTTAATTGGTGGCATTTTGGGTGGCATTGGGATCCTATTTATAATTATTAGTTGGGAATCAGTCACTTTTCGCTAGATAAATGATGGTGGTCTAAATGATGTACGTAGATCAATCAGCTGACTTCTTATACTTTTAAGGGGTCACACAACATTGGTGTTAATATAAATCGCTGATTACATATTATATATATAACGTTAGCCGAAAGCGAATAATTTGTTTATCCAGCTCAGCGAATATTGGGTATTAATAGCCGGTGATGGGGGCATCAGTCATATTAAATTATTTAAAAGTCCACGACTAATGGACACGGACAAAAAGAGAGGCTGAACAGAGGCAGTGGATATGTCTGTTTGCAAAATTAATCAAACGCGCAACTGACAGCATAGGGAGCGTCATAAGGAAAATAAATTAAAAATACATAAAGCGCTCAATTACGAAATTTGGTACATTTAATTTGTAAGCAAGCCAAAAAAGACAAAAGACTGGCCGGAAAAAAGGCAATGGAAACACAGTGGCCAAAACGCAGTCACACTGCCCATGAAAATGGAATCCAATTTCCATGTACTTCTTCGTCCGCTTTTTCTTGCCGCTTTTTCTTTTATCTGTTTTCGGTTGGTTTCAGTTGCCTACTGTTCCGGGGGCAATATAAAAATTTAATATTCGCCCGGAAGTCGGCTGCAATAAAATGCTCAACAGAATGTAGTGGCGCAAGTAACTTCAATGTGGAGCCATAAACCATGATCCGGCCTCGCCGACACCCCAAATTATGTTGTAAAAGTGGCGAAAAACAAGCAAACGGCGACACTTGAGATCCCATTTCCCCCCCACTTTCTCCCCACACATTTTTCGCCCCAACTGGAAAACAGACGGGGAAACAGAAGTCCAGACAGACGCCTCATTAGTCCAGCGGTCAGTGGGCCACGTTAAGAGCTACTGGTACCCAGTGGAGCTGGGAAACGTCGAAAAAAAAGGTCTATGGAGTGGCTGAGTTATAGAGGTCCTATGCGAAACGGCGAGGAACTGAAGAAAGCGTATGCAAACTTGTTTTGGGACTTGTACTTGACCGCAATCAGTAATAACTTATTTATAGAATGACAGCGCCTGTTGGAACTCAAAGGCAAATCTTTGTGTGGGCTAACAAAAGTAACTATATTTACTCCAGACCTTGACCTATATTTATTTCAATTGTACAATAGGGCATTGATTCAATTTTCTCTTTGTAGCAATGTTGGGAAGGCACGCTTCTTTGGTAATATTTATTTATAATTTTGTTACTCCTGCAAATGAATATATTTAATTAAGATTTGCCAGCGCATCCTCCATTGACTAAGTACATCTAACCTTCTGACATTTCTTAATTAACTGAGGCACATTTTAATTGGCCTGTCCATTGTGGTGTAAAACATTGGTTAGGCCGAGCATCAGCTCACATTTTGGCGGTACATGTCGACACTTGTAGGGCCTTTAATGAAGCACCTGTCATCAATGTGCTTGCGGTTGGACGCGACTCCTTTTGCTCTGTGTAGCCAGCAGTCATGTACACAAGTGCCACCCCTTGCTGCCGCCATCTAATGCCCTTTGACCCCTTCGCAACACGTCTCTGTGTGTGTGTGTGTGTGTGTCTGTGTGAGCCATGCAAACATGGCCACCAACTAATGAGCCCTCGTTTAGCAGCATTTGGCATTGCAATCGGCGCCGATCCTTCACCAGCAAAATTTAAATGACAAAAAAACAATGGTAACAAATGAGGGTAATTGAAAGAAAGCCACGGCATTATGGAATTATTTGGTGCTGGAAACGTACGTGCCTTAAACAATATCAAAACAAAAGTGTAATACAACATTGCAGCCTTAAAGTATTAATATTTACATAATATTTTATGAAATTTGACTTATGCAAGTAAATGTGTATATTCCAATGCTGCGGTTGCAGTTTGCGATGCAATGTCCACAACGAACATGTTACATTCGACACAATATATCCAGACAAACGGACATTTGCCGGAAAACCGGCTCTGGATGAGTCTTGCAACTTGGCTGCTGGCTGGTGGCTGGTGGGGTGGAAATTGAAATGGAAACGGAACTGAAACCCGTCGAAGTTCCCGCAATGACAGCACATAAATCAGCTTGCCTCGCTTCGTGCATAACTTATTGCACACTTTGGGGCAGCTCTGTATATTGCAATTGTTTGCTGCCACACAATTGCCAGTCATGGGCGAAATTGTCTTGGGTCTTAGACTTAAGCCTGGCAGCAACAAATACATGTGCACGAGCATACACACATGCGAGTATGTGTGACACAAGGATGCTATCCTGCGCACTGCTAATTGAATCAGAAACCGCACCATGAAATCAGCAGGCAAACGAAGCGGCCAACGCGGCGGATGCGGATGCGCAATGCGAAATGAAAAAAGGGACAATTTTAGAGCATGGCAAAGGATTGCCGGCCAGATTGATAAGTCCCCAGGCGGAATGCCTTTGACCTAAAAAGAGAAGCGAGTGGGGCATACATTTATGCGATTCCTGAATAAATCATTTACTGGCAGTGACGTACTCCTTTTTATATTCTGTTTTTATTCCAGCCCAAAATAAATACGCTCCCAATGTGTGTGTGTGTGTGTGTTTGCGCGTTTGTATTTGCGTTAGATTTTCGGACATGACAGGAAGCCTGTTTTCCCCGGAACCCATGGCGTATGGGCAATATGTGTAGCGCGAAAAATAAACAATATTCACACAGCGAAAAGCCGCACAAATTAAGGAAATTTGGCGAATGAAGCGTGCAATTAAATGTAAGTGTTTACCTCGACGGCGGGATGCCTTCCGTACTTTTTTTTCGATCGAAGTTTACGACTCGATGCTGGCGCCTCGACTGCCGAATCCTATAAACGATCGAATTGCCGAGTTACGCGCCAAAAATCGCACCAACAAAACGCGCCAAAAAACCAAAAAAAATGTAGGCCGTAATTCGGAACCCGCGACCGTTGTGCTCGCCACAACAACCGGTTGGCAAGTGAATAAAAAAATCCACAACGATGCTAGGAAAACCGACGCGAAGGATTCAAACGGGAAAGCAGTTCCGTGACACTGCTTGCCGAAAACTGTTATACAACAAGGGTGCTCAGTAAAATTGTTTTTATTTTTAAATCGTTCATTGAAAAAAGGCATTATAGCAATAAACTTGTGAATATTTAGTTCAAAGCATTATGTTTAACATATTGCCTTTTAGTATTTTCTGGGAAAGTTGTGAATTAATTTTCATAGAATAAATGATTGTTTAAGTAACAACAGCCGGCCAAAATAAATGCATTTGAATCTCAAACAAAAGCATTTTACTAAAAACTATGCTGAAAGGTTTTATCGAGTTTTTCAACCGAGAACGTTTGCTGCCCTGCTTACAGAGCTTTCGGCGTAAGCAGTGCAAGCTGCTAAAGCATCGTGCCAAGCAGTGTCTTGTACTTCTGATTGAGGGGTTTTTACAATTGCTTCATTGTGCTTCGGTTAAAAAAATATGGGGGACTCACTATCTGAGCCACGGCCAGGCATCTGAGTCGAGACCAAAGAAAGAAAATTCGAGAACCTAATTTTTATATACATGCACCTTTTTTCTTTTTTTGTTTCTAGCAGTACTTACAATGGAAATGTTGGTCTGGCACGTATAATTCCGATAGACAGACGCCGTCTGCTGCTCTTGTTTGTAGTCATTGTTGTTTCTCCAGAGATTTGCCTTTGGAAAGAACAAGTCGGTCGTATAAATAGTTGTCGAAGGGTAAGGTTAAGTCATCAGTTACACGCCAACCTTTAAAATGTTGAGAGCGTTTGCCTTTACTGTCCTACTTACAGCTTTGACCTCGTCCCAAGGACATAGGGGCGATTACCTCAGATTTCCAGATCCCGGAAATATTCCGAGATATAACCAACGACCCTGCGGCCCCCGAGTCTGTGGCAAAAGTGAATTTTGTTATCGCAGCTTTGAGAGCATTTGTGACTTTAACGATTACAATCTGAAAATGATATTGAGTGGCCAGGAATGTAAGAATCATAAACTAATTAAAATATTTATATATTTATTTATAGCAATCTTATACAAATTGTTAAATAATGTTTTGTTTTTCTTGTTCACATAGTGTTTGAATTGACAGACCCTTCTTATTGCCGAGCGTCGCCTCCACGGACAAAACTTATTGATGTCGGCTACTATTTCAATCACCAGAGCTTGTTAGTAGCTCAGTCTCAACCTTTGGCATTTTCATCGCCAATTCCCAGACCTAATATTCCCCAAAATCCAGAAAATAGCGAACGTTACCACGCAAATCCGTCCAATGATTTTTATGGGCCAGTGCAACGTCGTGTGCTTCCTTATCCGGTATGGCCATTTAAGCGGCCACAGTCACCACCGAGAAATCCGCCAGTCAGTTATCGACCTCCTTATTGGTACTATCCAACAAGACGGCCCGAAGTAACCAAACCATGTTACCATGAAACTACAACCACGACAAGTGCTCCCAAGACAACCACCACAACGAAGGCATCTACAACGACGACTACAACTGAACCTTCTACACCAACGAAGGTGGCATTTACAACCACAACAATGAGCACTGAAGCCCCCACAACAACAACTACTGGATCTACATCAACATCAACAACTACAGAAAAAATAACAACAACCACCGAACTCACAACAGCAACGGAACCAGCAACAACGACAGAATCTGTAACAACCACAAAACAATCTAATACTGCAGAACCAACAACAACCACAACAACAAATCCCACAACAACCACAGAGCCAACAACAACCACAGCGCTTCCTACAACCACAGAGCCAACAACGACCACAGAGCCGACAACAACCACAGAGCCAACAACAACCCCAGAGCCAACAACAACCACAGAGCCCACTACAATCACAGAACCCACAACAACCACGGAGCCCACAACAACTACAGAGCCAACTACAACCACAGAACCAACTACAACCACAAAGCCAACTACAACCACAGAGCCAACTACAACCACAGAGCCAACTACAACCACAGAACCCACTACAACCACAGAACCAACTACAACCACAGAACCAACTACAACCACAGAGCCAACAACAACTACAGAGCTCACAACAACTACAGAGCCAACAACAACCACAGAGCCAACTACAACCACAGAGCCAACTACAACCACAGAGCCAACAACAACCACAGAGCCAACTACAAGCACAGAACCAACTACAACCACAGAACCAACTACAACCACAGAACCAACTACAACCACAGAGCCAACAACAACTACAGAGCTCACAACAACTACAGAGCCAACAACAACCACAGAGCCAACTACAACCACAGAACCAACTACAACCACAGAATCACCAACATCCACGGAGCCATCAACAACAAATTCTGCATCCACTACAACCGAATCTTCAACGACAACCAACACGAGCTCTTCATCTACAACAATAACGACAGTACAAACAACAGAACCTTCAACGACCACTACGTTGGTTCCCCCTACAACGACAACACTTGCAGAATCGTCTACAGTAACAACAACCCCGACTTCCACAACAACGACTTCGGAACCTTCCACAACATCTACAACAGATTCTTCAACAAGCACAACAACTACGGTTGCCCCAGTCACGACTACAACAACCACTGAAGCTTCTACAACAACTAACCCGGCGACTGTAAGTAAAATATATAATGTTATAACAGAATAAGATAGTAAAACACATTTCTGACAGGTCAACCCAGTATTTGTTGAGATCAGAAACGAGGATGGACAAATAGTCGATTTCGAAATGGCTGCCATGGCCGTGAATCCGGAAACAGGGGAGCCAAACTGCGCGGAGGTCACCAATGTCCTGATAACCACAGGATCAAGGATCGTATTCCAGTTCTCTGGGTGTATTGTGGCGAGTCTTGCCACTGATCCAACAACCTCGACCAGCACCACCGTACCAACAACAACTCAAAACACTCCGCGCTATCAGTGGTACGGCGGTTCATCGGCTTACGCACAGTCCCAATTTATATACACCTATTAGATAAACATTAATTTCCATTCTATACAAATACATTGTCATTAAGAACTCAATAAAAGCCATTAAATAAATAACAAGAATCTGAATCAGAAGATACTTTTAAAACAAGAAAAACTACACTTTCTCTGTCTAAAAATGCAAAATGCAAGTAATTCGTATTTCGCTGATTGGAACGCCACTTATACCAATGCATCACGTTTTCCATTTCATTTGAAACGGAAATACTAGGAAGCAGCGTTAGACCGCAATTCCTATCATAGGAAACGTGATCTTTGATGTGGAAATGCCACACGTGAACTCCGAAGCGCCCTTCAACCCATCTCCGAAATCAAGTTCAAGTTCCCGGCTGTGAACTGCTAATCACATTCTGCTGACTCATGTCTCAGCTCAAATTCTTTACGAATTTACGAAGAACTGCAAATGGCAGACAAATTCCCATGACTCAAGGTTGAGATCAGCCGAACTGCGATAATGGTCAACAAATGTCATAATAAAGTGCAAGCCAGAATGAAAGTGGGAGAAGAGGCGTCTGCGGTGTCTGCCGATTGATACGAAATTATGGAAACAATTATTATTATTATAATTAATTGAGTCCCCGACACGTTCACCTACATTGCCAGTGTATGAGAACACCGAGTGTTAGGACGTATATAAACTGGATGCGACGGAGGTCACGGCATAGTCGCTTTCGAACCGTTCGGAAAATGACAGCTTTTCTACTTTCCATTGGACTCGCCCTCCTCGCCGCCGCGCAGGCATGGGATTACGGAGTGCCCTACTATCCGGCACCGCACTATTTCGAGGAGCAGCAGCCATATGATCTTCGGTGTCCACCGTCGGGTCCGGAAAGTCTGGTTTGTGCCGGAGCTCCGGGCGTCCAGCCATCCACCTTTCCCAGTCCCTGCGAGGTCCAACGTTTCAGAGCCCTGACTGGCATAAGTAAGTACTCAAGTGAGATCCGAAACCCACACGGTTACTCACCCACTATTTCTGCAGACTGGGAGATCATCCACGAGAATAGATGCGAAACTTTGGAGATCTGCCCGGACAACTGCCATGAGCAATACAGCCCTGTGTGCGGGAAGTACAGGGATACCAGGCGCAACTTCAGGAGCGAGTGCGAACTGCAGCTGATCAAGTGCCGCACAGGACATCGTGAGTACTCCGGAAATATTGAAACAGAGTCTTTAAGCGCTGAAGTTATTTATTTTAATTTGATGTATTACGGTATTCACGGTAATGAAAAAAAGCCTTTAAATAATTTAAATAGTCTCAAGCTGTGTAACTAAATGTACTTAAACAATGTTTTGAAGTCGCAGAATGTTAAGTTTCAGTGGCACGTCTGTCAAACCTTTTGTCACTGTGTACGTCGAAGCATGATTTTTTTATATTTTTAAAACATGTATACGTCATATGTTTGTTATGATACTGATAATTACTCATTTCATATATTATTCATTGCAGCTTGGCGAAAGCACCATGATGGCCCCTGTGAAAGCAGGTATCCTGTTCCTCAGTCGCCTCGCGCTCAAAACTACAATCCCTATGCGATTAATCCTTACCAACCGAGCATCGAAACTGGAAGAGCCTATGGATCCCAAGGACCTTACGGGTCTCAAGGACCTTACGGATCTCAGAGTTCCCCTGAAGCCTACGGTTCATATAGGCCGCAATCTCCCCCTCTGCCTTATTCGCAAAGCTCATTTGTGTCCCCAAAACCAACTTATGAAGCGCCTATCTATCAGCCCTATCAGATATCCTGGGAAAATCTGCCCATCGAGTATGCTGAAACCGCCAAACCTTATCCCAATCCAACCTATAAGACTACACCAACTACTACATCCACAACTGCCCCTACAACTACTTCCACAACTGCCCCTACAACTACTTCCACAACTGCTTCTACAACAACTTCCACAACTGCTTCTACAACAACTTCCACAACTGCTTCTACAACAACTTCCACAACAACTACACCTCAACCAGAGACCACTCAAAATCCCAGACAAAATATTAAGGTGAATGCCGTGCTCGATGACACCCAGCCTGAAGAATCAACCGAGCCCAGTTCCACGGAGTCCAGTGCCACCGCTACACCTTTAAAAAAATACATAACCACTGCTTCTCCACAACATGCTACAACCACTGCACAGCCTTCCAAAGCCTCACTATCGATAAACGCTGCTCAAGAACCTGAACGGGAGGCTCAGGAGACCACTAGCACAGAAAGAACTACAACTTATAAGTCTTCCAATGCTTATAATTCATATGCAACCTCCGAAGCTCCTGAGACCGAACCGACTACGGTGTCCGAAGACCAGTTATTCAAAGTAAATGAAGTCCAGATAAGTACTGAGACAACTGAAACGGCTGCTGAGACAACGCAGACCCCCACTCGTACTTACCCATCGTATCCAACTTATTCATCCTCCAGTGTCCATAAAACTTATCCAACATATACCTCCACTGAAGCTACAAAGAAAGAGGAAGCTACCGAGAAGTCTGTCGACGAGATAGTCAAAGTAAATGCATTTGAGGAAGACTCTGAAAACAAGGACGATATAATAGCTACCACACCGAAATCGCAGTCTACTTACCCATCGTATCCAACTTATTCATCCTCCAGTGTCCATAAAACTTATCCAACATATACCTCCACTGAAGCTACAAAGAAAGAGGAAGCTACCGAGAAGTCTGTCGACGAGATAGTCAAAGTAAATGCATTTGAGGAAGACTCTGAAAACAAGGACGATATAATAGCTACCACACCGAAAGCGCAGTCTACTTACCCATCGTATCCAACTTATTCATCCTCCAGTGCCTCTAAAACTTATCCAACATATACCTCCACTGAAGCTACAAAGAAAGAGGAAGCTACCGAGAAATCTGTCGACGAGATAGTCAAAGTAAATGCATTTGAGGAAGGCTCTGAAAACAAGGACGATATAATAGCTACCACACCGAAAGCGCAGTCTACTTACCCATCGTATCCAACTTATTCATCCTCCAGTGTCCATAAAACTTATCCAACATATACCTCCACTGAAGCTACAAAGAAAGAGGAAGCTACCGAGAAGTCTGTCGACGAGATAGTCAAAGTAAATGCATTTGAGGAAGGCTCTGAAAACAAGGACGATATAATAGCTACCACACCGAAAGCGCAGTCTACTTACCCATCGTATCCAACTTATTCATCCTCCAGTGCCTCTAAAACTTATCCAACATATACCTCCACTGAAGCTACAAAGAAAGAGGAAGCTACCGAGAAGTCTGTCGACGAGATAGTCAAAGTAAATGCATTTGAGGAAGACTCTGAAAACAAGGACGATATAATAGCTACCACACCTAAAGCGCAGTCTACTTACCCATCGTATCCAACTTATTCATCCTCCAGTGCCTCTAAAACTTATCCAACATATACCTCCACTGAAGCTACAAAGAAAGAGGAAGCTACCGAGAAGTCTGTCGACGAGATAGTCAAAGTAAATGCATTTGAGGAAGACTCTGAAAACAAGGACGATATAATAGCTACCACACCGAAAGCGCAGTCTACTTACCCATCGTATCCAACTTATTCATCCTCCAGTGCCTCTAAAACTTATCCAACATATACCTCCACTGCAGCTACAAAGAAAGAGGAAGCTACCGAGAAATCTGTCGACGAGATAGTCAAAGTAAATGCATTTGAGGAAGACTCTGAAAACAAGGAGATAGGTATGACAACGGAGCCTAGCACAACTGAGGCGCCAACTACTTACGCATCATATCCGACTTATCCGGCCTCGAGTAAAACGTACAGTTCTTCTGAGACTTCAGATGATGATGACGATGAATTGGACAAAGAAATAAAGATCGACGCAGTCTCTGAACCAGCAACCATTCAGAACACGACGTTCGCAACGACACCATCCCCGACAACCACCAGCAAATCTTTATCAGAAGAGAAAAAGGAACTTGAGATTAATGCAGCTAGTGTGGCCAAGAGTACGAAGACTGAATCAGCGGAAGTCCCAGAAGTTGTTAGGACAGAAAGCGTTAGTAAGAACGGATCGCAGGTAAATTTGGAGGTGACCTGCAAACGAGAAACCAAAAAACTAAAGCTGGACACATCGAGCTCCGATCGAAGCAACATATATTTCATATTTTTGGGCTGCTAAACAAGTTGTTCTAGTTGTGTTCTAGTGTTGTTGTATGTTGTGTTAGTATAGTTAGTAAAGTTGTGCAGGTGGTACAAGTATAATAATAAACTGTTACGTTCGAAACTAATCTGGTTTTCATGGACTTAGTGCATCGCATTCAAGGTTTTGTTGGGCAGTATGTGGTATTTCACATAGTTGTATATCATGAACTTTTGCGTCATTAAAGTCAAGTTTTCAGAGTTGTTTCTGTTGTTGATCACTATGTAACCATCATGAAGTAGCGAATTTTTCAACGTTTCGTTGTTCTTATTAATCTCGTTATTATCACCGTCCAAGTTCCTGGGTGTTGTTATATTGTTCACCATATACTCTATCTGTTGCATCACGTTATAGGGCATTCCCAATATCCAACTAATCGTCCGTATTTTTTTTCTCCATGCCTGCTCTTCATCGTAGAGAATCGGATTTCTGCGCAAATCGATTCCCCCTGAATCGACAAGAGTCTCGTTCCATATGCATTCCGGCTCGTAGATTTCCACTAATCCATAGTATAGTACATGTATTACAAATATAACGAGCGGCTAAAGTGAAGTGCAGTTAGAAATGCTATCCTTGCTTCGTTTTTCACAAGTTTTCTCACCATGAACTCCATGTTTTTCCAATTTTTTTCCTGTTTTTCGTTCTGGCTTGTTAGTTATCATAGGGCAACTGAAATTGTCTGAGGTATTTTTTCAGTCAGTGACCTGCCGAACGGAAGCGAATTTTAACAGGCATACTGAGTTAAAATATTGAAGTATTACGATTAAATATTGAAGTATTAAAATCCTATAAATTAAGCCTTGTTATAGTTGACAATCGTTATAATCAAGCTAACTCTTTCGCTCCTCACAGTAGATTTATTTGATATTTAGGATTGGAAGAAAAAACAATGCTATTTAGTTATATTGTATAATTTAAAACATATCTGAAGCAGCTGTAAATACTTTCAATAAATATTAGTAAAAAAAAAACTAAATATATAATGGTTTTCGAAGTTTAAAGTTGGGCTTGTGCAGTTGCTGCGGATTTTTGAGTGGTGCTCATGGCCTGTGTAATCGCTTCCAAATGCTCCGTGGTGGTTTCTTCGCCAATCTCAGTGGTGCTGGGCATCCGTAGAGGCAGAAAGGATTGGACAGTGCTGGTGCTCGAAGGCTCGAATAGCCTGGTTGCGGCCAAAACTGGCAGGGGTGTGGTGGTGGATGTGGTAGTAGTGCTAGTGGTGCTAGTGGTGCTGCTGGGCGCGGAATAGGGCTCCGTGACACGACCAACTTCGGGCAAAAACATCGAGAGCGAGGAGTCGGTTATCTCGCCGTAATCGCGACCCACATCGGGTATATTGTACACATTGTAGGCATCCACAGCCTGGGAAACGGAGACCATGGGATTGGCCAGGCTCATCAGCTGCTGGAATTGCATGGGCGAGGGACTTGTGCTGGTCTGTTTGGTGGGCCTCATCCTGGCCGTCGTGGTGATTCTGGTTGTGGTTGTGCTGGAGGAGGGCCTGGGTGTGGTGCTGCTGCTCCAAGGAGCAGGAGTGGCCAGCATTATGTATACTTTCTTCGGGTTGGTGGCAAACTTGGCATTGGAGGCGCTGAAAGTGGAAGGCTTTTTCTTGTTGCGACGCAGCTTCTTCTTGCGCCCACTCTTCGTGGGTGTCTGACAAGGACCCGTGTGCAGGATTCGCTGGACTAAATAGACATGGTTTAGATGTAGGACTGGATGGATAAACGACATATGTGTACAGACCTTGTTTCGTGTGGCATTCGCGTCTACGCATCTCGCACTCGTTGGTGAAAGTTTGGGGAACAGCGCCTGCAATCTCGGCCAGCGCGCAAACTGGACGCTCCACCTGGCTGCACTTCATCGTCTGGCAGGTGGGCAGGCATCGCTCCATCTCCGTGGGCTCCAGTTCTGCACGGGCGGCACTCAGGGTAATGGCAAATGTTTCGGGTTTTCAAATAAAACAAACATGGCAAATTAAAACAAAATATATAAAAACATTTAACATTTTAAAAGTAAAAAACAAACATCTACAAGCGGCGCACTCACCTGTGCCGTGCTGGAAGAGCATCTTCATGTTGGCCGCCTCCAAACGGCAGTTGTTCTCGAAGTAGAAGCTATCGGTTCCATTGGTGGCACAGACTGGCACTCCGCCTGCCTGGCAATTGGGCTGGTAGTCCACGTACTGGATCTGCATGGGACCCAGGCCCTTGTAGTCCTTGTCATCGGCATCCTGGCCCAGACCCACATCGCCCAGTATCTTGGCGTACTGGTCACTCGTATAGTGCGAGTCGCCCATGTGCCAGTTGGCAATGGGCGAGCTTTTCTGGGCCACTACTCCACGGGCAAGGATCCCAAGAAGTTGCAGCAGGATTATAATCATGGTAACTGCTCGACTGGTGCTGTCTTTCCGTTTCTGCTGCGTGTGCATCTCGAGTGGTTTGTGACCTCCGTGGATCGAGTCCAGTGCTTTATACTGGCTCTCGAGCGGGTTGTCATACGAGTTTGCTGCATTTTTTCACTGACACCGCACTTATCGCATATTTTCTTTTGCAATAACAATCATTTTATTCTGATAAGCACCCACGGGGCAGGTGGCTCTCGGCAAAGCCATTCATAATTGCTTATCGCACTTTGCACTGTGGGTCATTCACGTGATTAACTCGTTTGAAAATCAGAGGTCATGTACTGGCTAAGTAGATTCATCAAAAGACAAGACACTTGGGGTAGCTAACTTGCAGTAAATATTTCTTGATAATACATTTTAAATTTACACATTTAACGATGCTTGTATATGTTTTTGGCTTTATGTAGATACACTTGGCTTTCCACTCCAGTTAGGTATGGAAATTATAGCTTTAAAAGGCACACTTTGTAAGTTATCCTTTGGGTGTCCTAGTAAAGGGTACGCTTTTAAGCTCGAAAGCAATATGCTTGACAAAGAATGTATAAGCTTATTTTTCGTTTTTCGTTTGAACATGACTTTTAATGTCTAACTTTTACACTGAGTAAAGATACCAGTTAGCTTAAAGCTTATTTTAAAGATAGCTCGTTTTAAAATACTTGCATTAAATAAACAAAACTTCTGCATTGAAATGCATTTTCTAAAATAAGTTATATTAAGTTTATTCCAGCGCAATAAGACACATTTAAAATGGGTACACAGGCCTATAAAATAAATGGAGAAATATTCTTACAGGCTAGGAATTTGATTTAAATAAGTTCAGCATAATTTCTTTGCTGAATTCAAAGAGGTAAATAGGATGCAGATAAATATCATTGAGAACTGAGAAATATAAAGTGCATTTTTGCGTAAGTAAATCTGTGTTTTGTGCGAAGTAAATATATGTACATATACAAAATATCCTTGTGCAAACAAATGTTTTAAAATGTCCTTGGAATCGGGCCCTTTGCTTCGTTCCAACCCAAATATGCGCCCAGTTTCAGATGTGGTGCAAAGTTTTGAAGAGCCAACCTATTTTTGGGCAAGTTTATTGCTTTGCCGTTATTGAAAATGACAGAGCAAGGGCGACTGCCCAACCTGCCCCCCTTTGAATGTCCTGCAACATCCTTTTCCACACACAAGCACACAAGCAAAGAGTAATCTGCATATGCTTATTTGGGGGACCTGAAGATACAATTTATTAAACTCTCTCATACACACCCTGCTAAAAATGGCCAAAGTAAACAACAAAAGTTTCCCATTTCCTTACAGGACGAAGGGTCCTGAGACATTCGAATCCATTATGTGCTCGAACAATGAACTGCTGTGGCACGGAAATAAACCAAAATACGGAAGTCACAGCAGCAGGAAGCAAAGCGGAATGCAGTGGAAGCCCTGATCGCAAGATGGAAGCCACCGTCAAATAGAAGATGCAGATAAGTACTAAGTATCATTGAGAACTGAGAAATATAAAGTGCATTCTGGCGTAAGTAAGTCTGTGTTTTGTGTGAAGTAAATATACATATACAAAATATCCTTGTGCAAACAAATGTTTTAGAATGTTCACAACTCTTTTGCTTGTGCGATTAGAGAATCAAAAAGCAAATTTTTCCAAGTCAGTCAACTCAAAATGGAACTCCTATCGAAAATGTTATGATTCTAGAAATGAAGTTTGAGGCTAATACCAAAACAAGCCCGAAAATGTATTAATAGATATACAAACATTAATTAATTCAGAAGTGGCATTTGGGCAGAGAGTTCCTCATTCGATGCCGATCCCCGTTGACTGTTGGTTTTGCCATCCAGCTTGCCTTCTGTTTTGGTGGAGCTCAAAGCGCAGGGGCGGCGAGGGGAACAAGAACGGCGGGGGGAGCGGGATGGGGTGGCTGTGGGCCAAACAATAAACAAACAAACAAGCTGCAAAAGTGTCAAACATTCATCATACATTGTAATATGCCTCTGGACCGGGCCAGAACTTCCTGCATCCCATCGCCACTTGCCAGACTTGGCCACTTGGTCACTGGTTGCTGTCACAGTCGCCGTCACGGGCTGCTCTTCACTGGTCACTTGTCACTGGTCACTGGTCACAGGTTCCTGGTAACCTGTCACTGGTTAGTGGCCATTGTATTTTTTCCATTCCCGGTTTCTGAACTTTGGAACTCGAAAGAGAGGCAAACGGACAAAGGCAGGCAATCGCGAGCTAAAAACCAGAGCTGCACTAAGAAAAAATGTGTCTATGTTTCCTATAGAGCGCGGACAGTTGAAGGATTATACAAATTCGTACGACGTAGTAGAAGTTTATAAATAAAATAAAAACAATTATGCTGTGTTTATTTGTTTGTATAAAAGATTTCAACAATGTGTTATTTGCGTCAAAGTATCAATGATTTTAACGGCCTTGAGAAGAGTATTTGTAGTGCGTCATTTCTTTCAGTGCATTCTGATGGGCGTAGCAGCAAGAGCGGAGAGGGCGTGGTCGCGCGGGGTCGTGCGGTTTCAAAACTATGGAAAAAGTGCAAAAAGGTCAGTAAATTAATGTGCAAAACGGGCGGTGGATAAACTTTGAATGTGTCGCGTATGTGTGAGTGTGTTTGTGAATCAGCATGTGTTTGTTTGTGCGCTGGAAAAGCTGACGGTAGGCGTGGCTGAGCCGCCCACAGGCTGACCGTGAGAGATAGGGGAAAATGGAAAATCGGGGGGGAGTTTGCTTTGAGTTACGGCCTCCCTCTTTTTGCAAAAGGCACTCACACAAGTAAACAAACAAGCTCGCACAGATACTCACACGCACAGCACTTTCATTTACACAAATACAAATACAAACAGTATTCAGATTTTACCAAAGGGTTATCGAAGGGCAGAAAAGAAAACATAATAAATAGAAACGACAGCCGCATTTTTCCTTCAATTTATTCATCCTACGATAATGATAAATTCGTTAGCTTAGCCGCATAAATTCAATTTAAGTTGAAGCCGCTCGTCTTAAATTAGACGTAAAATTTTCAACTAATAAATCAATATTTTAATAATTTATACAAATTGGGTATGTTTCTGAGTTTTCTCCCCCATGTTGATCGATTACTTCATATTTGGGGGTTGTTCTCCGAATTTCAGCGACTGATTGCCGCGTTTTTTTTTTTGGATTCTGTGTGATTATGATTATGATGTGCGGTGGGCGGACAGGGAATATGCACTCTATGGGAAAACAAATTGCTTTCAAATTAGTTTCCACAGGTGCGACCAAACGAGTTGGAGTGATGAGCAATTCAAAAGAGAATCCCTCATTTGTGAGTAAAAACTGTTGACGTTTCGCCAGTTTATGCAAACGAGTTCCCGGAAACTTTATTAATAATGTTTCAGCCACTCGTGACTACTCAACAGTCCGAATGAATAAGGGAAAGTTATATTATTGTAGCAAATGCAACAGACATTTCTGATAACCTAATTAAAATGACAATTTTGTGTTATGTGGTAAAGCTTGTTTACCGCTTATTTAATTACATTGTATATTGTACCTCAACTTCCAGCTATTTATTTAATTGACCGTAAGTTCTAACTATATACGCTACTATATAACCAAGGCTGCTTTAAGTTGACCAATTTTCCAAGTGCAACCCAGCGGCCTTTGCAAGAAACTTTGAACCAGAAACGATGTGTCCAGCTTGTGTATGTCAAACTGAAGGGGAGGTGGAGGAGGAGGAGGAGGAGGGGGCAGCCCGACATCTTGCCATAACTTAAACGGAGTTTCTAATGGCACCCTAATGAAAACTTCATCGTTTTGTCAGATTCTCGAAAACAATTTGCATAGGAACGGGACATGCAAACAGCCATAAATCATTTAGCACTAAGACCCCTGGACTGGTTCCGTCTCTTTTTTGCACTTTCCCTTCTCTTTCTAATGCTGGTTGTGCTGTCTCTTTCTGCGGCTGGATGTCTGGCTGCTGTTGGCTTCATTGTGCTTTTAATTCCAATTTTAATTTCACACCAAAACTTTGCTTCTTAGTTGGCCGAGCGCTCCATCGACTACGTCGCTTTCCCGCCCCTCGGTTTTTCCCATAAGAAAACCCATCCCTGTTGTTACAATTTTCTTTTGAAAGTTTTCTCTTGTCCATGTCGTGTCGCGTTGTGTCCTTCCGATTGCGGTGAATGATAATGAACGCAACTGGTCCATTGTTTGCCAGGGGATTTCATTTCGACTCACCCACCACTATAAATACGGGTATATCCCTACGTATCCATTGAATTGGCACCGAAAACCCTCGGGATCCAATTAAAGATCCCAAAAACTGCGGCCGGTGGGTAAACAGAGCTCAGTTTTATAATTAAGTACAAAAACCAAGTAATGAATCCATTTGCGATTAGTCAGAGGAAATGTGTAGAATCAAATCAATTTAGCTAACAATTCGATGTCTAACGGGTGTAAAGACAAAATTCGAAACTTCGCCAGTTCGAATTGATGTTGACCGAATGATTCGGTAAAAGTTCCATGCGAAATTGCTGATTCTCTGAAAGCTCAGCTTTGATATACTTGTATATTTTATCGTTTGTATTTGTTTATCACAATGATTGAAGAGAAGTGCAATTACGTCGAGAGCTGTAAAGTGGTTTCATTTATAAAGGGCCTTAGCTTATATACAAAAAATGTGCTCTCGCAAGTTTAATTCATTAGATTGTGTAATCTAAGTTTGCACCATTAGATTGGCAAACGAGTTTATCCGATAGAAGCCAAATTATTCAATTAGCTGAACACGAAAATAGCCAGCGTTCCCAGTGGAAGCGCGGAAATTCAAATTTAAAGTGCTTTGCGGGTGTCGGGGGAAAAGCCGAGATTTTGGGGCTCAAAGGGGGACTTAAACGATGCTTGAATCGGAAACGGAATCGGATTTGGCAGTCTCAAGTGCGATTAGGCAATTAAATGTGGAACGGTACGTAAACGTATTTGTTTCCGGCACTCTTCATTCTTTTACGCCCAGTCAGTCGCTCTGTCAACACTTTGTTTGCCATCCTGGCATTATAATAATATATATGTAAATATAATGGCAGTAAATTCCCCACTCACACAGACACAAAAGCAGCCATCTTGCCTGCTGTCTTATAACGGTAACCACGTCTGTGTGTGTGTGTGTGTGTTTGTGGGAAACGGAAGTGCGGCATATTTTCCGCTTAAAACACCACAATGTGCTCGACTTTGTCTGTGTGTGAGTGTGTGTGAGTGTGTGTGCGGGGAAAGAGCTGGAAAAAGATGGGCCAGAGCGACAATGCGGAGTCACAATTTATTCGCATATTTTTATTATTTTTCTCTTTATTGTCCGGAGCATAAAGCTCATGTGAGCCAACGCACACCTTGGTAGTCCGAAAGTCGGAGCAATTAAATGCTTTAAATTAATGTGGAATTAAAGTAACGACTGCCAATAACCGTATTCGTATATTGCCTGTGGCACATTCGAGGCCGGATTGCGGCATTTTTAAAGTGCTTTTATGAAGTGAAACTAATATACTCCATTCTGTGGCACAGAATTCACGGCGAATGGTATTATGTGAAACAAAATCGATTTTTAAATCCTGTTCATTCTATTACATTTACATCTGATGAACTTTTATTTGTCAAACATATTTATTTCATATGTGTTCCAAGTCAAACAACTACAATTTATTGAGCTGAATTGTGAGCTGAATTCCTTAAAAGCTAGACATTGAATTGAATTGAGAGCTGCTCAATTTTTAGTTTCACAGCTGTTGCTAGAGCTTATCCTTTGGCAGGCTGTCAGTTCTTGACTGCATCCTGGCACAAAGGATGCCATTGCTTCTCTGGTTCATAATAAAGGCAACTTATTAATCATCAGTGGACCTAGTTGCTATTTTATCAGGAAGCATTTATAAACCAATATATCTCTGTCTGCCACATTGCCTCACTTTTAAGCTTGCAGACGGAAGAGCAATATCCTGCGATTATCCTTGCTCCAAGGTACTGCAATGCCATTGGGGCGTGTGTACTTCATTATCCGAATTCCAGCCTGGCGGCTGAGGAATCCATCTCAAATTTCACAATCGAACCTAGGAACAAGCGTGGCCAGATGCATCTCTGGAAACGCCCACCGACATGCTTTGCATTTTGCTCAATTAGCAGCCAAATAAGAATTGAAGCCAACTGCATGCGAAAAGTTACAGGATGTTTCGTAAATTTAAAGTTAACTAGGTTGGTTCCTATTTTTCCATGCAATGCAGATAATAAGTGAGAAATATGTATGTGGCCATCTGCTTTTGTGTGCGGTGTATCTGCGTAAACTTTTCAGCTCTCCAGCTTTCCAGCTTTCCAGCTGGCTAACTTAGTTTAGCCCGAAAATGAAACTGTACAAATTGTTTACAAAATCCAATTAATTATGACCCTTATCGTGGCTTTTCATGTAGTTGTTTTGGTGGCGACTTTGCTGTTTTGTTCCGGACAGAGTGTCCAATTAGTGGTTTGTGATGAACCGTTGACCTCGGTTTTTCCCGACTTACCTCTAAATTGAGTCAAATTAAATGGTGCAACTGCAGAATGGACAATCAGTGTAAATAGCTACGGTTAATGTAAAAGCGGTTCACACATAATTCGCGAGCTATGGCAAAAACTAACATGCAAAGTTGCGCTGATTTCTGGCAGGATGCCATCCTTGCTTTTAATTCGCACTTCTGCTGCAGATTGAATGCCATGTAATTTGTGCACGCCGGTTAGTTTCGACATGATTAGACGGAGATTATCCGAGGAATTCGCTCTCCCAATTAAAGGCCAGAGTTTAAGGGGCGCAGGATTCCCACTCGGTTTTCACTGCCTGCCTCTGGAATTTGATCAACAATTAATTATTTGCCTTGTATCGACGGACATGACCGCACCACATGCTGTCCCCATGCGAGTCAAAAGAGCATTCAATTTCCATTGTGCATTTTCCATTCAGGTGCATCACAATGCGGACATTAATTTGATTAGTGCTGCCAGCTCCAGCAGATTCCATGAGTTTCACATGCTCTGAAATTATCCAAAAGCCAACGCAATTAAACGTAGTTTTTATGTATTATTTAGAGCCTTTCAAGGCACAAATGCCAGCTTACTGAGGAATTTAAACAATTAGTAAGTTGCGCATTGAAAAGCAGGCAGCAAAAATGTAATAAATGGCACAATGCGGCTGCAAAATGTTGCTTGAAAAATTTCCTTTGCATAATTTAATTTAACTGAATCGAATCGCCCTTTCGAAGTGATTGGTTAAAGGTAAGCTATCGATTTAATATATGCTTTAAATCTTTATTTTTCTTTTTCTTTTGTATGTTTGAAAAAAAGGCATAAAATATTAGACCTATTTAATATCATTGGTATGGTTTAATGTTTAATATATAGACACATAGCTGCAACGAATATATAAACCATAATATAAACTATGTGTATTAAATACATCACATTTTCTTTCACCCCACGCTGTGTGCAAAAATGTTTAATTTTCGTCAGAATTTAAAATAACAAATACGAGCTATCGAAATACAATGAATTCAAATTATGCCTGCGCCTCATGTCAGCAACAATCAATTTGGATATTATTTAATCAAATGCAATGGAAAAGAATATCATGTCTCTTTAATTAACGACACAGCTAATTTATGCAACAACATATTTGTAATGAGCATGAAATATGCACGCGTGAAAAGGCCCAAAAATGTAAGCAAAACAAGATAGAATGCTATAGTCGAGTTCCCCGACTATCAGATACCCGTTACTCAGCTGGTGAAAGTGCAAACGAGAAGTTTCAACATTTTCTGGCATATCGGTAGAAATTGGGAACAAACTTAAAAACATTTAAACATTTTCTAACATTTTGCGCCAGAAACATTTAGAGGTATGCCACTTCAAAATCCGATAAAGATAAGTTGAGTTATGGAGTTTAGAACTTCAGCATTTTTTTATGTTTTGGAATTTCTACAACATTATAACATCAAAAAATTAAAAAAAAATTTAAAAAAAATGAATTTCTAAATTTGAGTGGAGATTTTTAGGAAATTTACGAGTTTTGGGTATAAAAAGGGGGACAAAAAAGCGCATCAAAATGTGGCTATAAATTATTTGGAGTTGAAATTAAAATTGCAAGTGCAGAACGTTGAACAATTTGACCACTTGTCAAATTTCAATCATAATATGTCAGTTCATTCATTTCAGCTAAAATAGAGAAAGAGATCGCAGACTCATCAATAACAATGTCTAAAAAAATACCTGAATAATTAAATTCAGCAATTTTTGTATGCCAAAGTCCTGTAAAGTGTGCTTTGAGATTCTGAATGAGTTCTATTATTCGTTTCCATTTAGATTGTAATTGCTGCAGTGCTTCCAAATTTTTCTACAAACATGTCCAGCCACCAGAAGCACATCAATGTGTATGTGCCCCCGATTAGCAGTTTTCCGGAAGCCAGTTTGCTGGGCGGCTACGGACTGCAGGATCGCATTGCGATGCCCAAGACGACGGAGGTCCTTGAGGAAGACCTCGATGAGCGGGACGCGCACTTCCTGTACGTAATCGATAGCCAGGGACGCCTGTTGGAGCATGTACGTTACTACGGGGACGATTACCGGATGGCACTGCGTAAGGCCTTTGCCACGAGGGTCCTTGACCACCAGGATACTGGCGTGGATCTCCTATTGAATCGGGAATAGCAAAGCGAAGAACCATACCAGGGCACACAACAAATAAATTAGCTGTTTCAATTAGCGCACTTTATTGCTCGATGGCCGGAAAATCAAGTAAAATTCGCTGTATTTCCCGTGCCATGTTTGGTAATGCGAACATGCGAATTTATATAATATAGACAGCTGTCAGAATTTATTGAACAAAATAAATCTATGGTTATTTTTGACAGCCTGAAAGCATAACTTATAAATGATTTTATCAAATAGGCTCTTTTTAAGCCGACTACTCGGGAGGTGTTGATACATTTGCAATTTTTTAAGAGTAATTTGTCCCCTTTGGGATCTAACGAGCTATTTGTGATGTGCCGCATTTCGAAGCGTACATATTTGCACAACAGATGAGCCACTTCAGCGAATTTTCCCCTGGCTGACTCACAGGAATGGTAGATAAAAATATTTGTATTTACTTTCTGGTCACAATTTGTGAAAAACGAATTTTGTATTATTTTTTTCGGTTGAAAAATGAAAAATGAAATGTGGAAAACGAATTACATTTGCATCGGCATGTGTTGGGCATGCAGATGGGATCCGTATCGGTGCTTGCATCTGCATCTGCGCTTGAAAATGAATCCGTATCTGCAGGTATTTGCGTGAGCTACTTCGTTGCATAATGGGGTTTTTATGGCCGGAGGATTTAATATGTAACGGATTCACACTAGAAATATGTAAAGTCCTCTTCAACTGCATAAACTAAATGGTTTTGCTGGGAGTCGATATCTGTAAATCATCAGTAATCAAATTATAGATTTAATAACTACGTTTCCTCAGTACATGTATTTTTTGACCATGGAGCTAATTTAAAAGGTCTGTTTCTGGTGAAAATATAGATAATAATTAAATTTTCGTGGGCAGTTGACTTCGTATGTCGCCGTGAGTGTCGTTTTTGACCCCCATGTAAACTCGGATAATTGAGCTTGCACATGTATTGCGTATCCGACCCGTTGCCCTCCAGCCACAGTGCAATTTATGTCCGTTAGCATTGCCACTGAATCCCCCGTTTAAGGATCTGAATGGACGGGTATTAAATTTTGTGTGTGCCCTGCTATGGCAACTGGTCAAAGGCCAGGATATCTGGATAACTGGATAACTGGACTGGAATGGCGTCGCCTGCGCCGCACTTCAAGTCTTGAGAATTGATAAAAAAGAAAAGAATTTAGTTCCATTGCCATGGGATCCAATTTGTGCATATGTAAACACCTGAGCCTCAGTAGAGCCAAGTCAGCTGAATACCATTTAGCTACCTAATTGGATAGGTTACATATTCTCTTGGGCGTGAGTGTATCTGGTCAGATCACCATGTTGTCTCGTTTTGAATAAGTGCCCAAACTAAAAGGCAATGCAAAATCTCATATTGATTTATTTGCTAGAAGACATCATTACCACGAATTACTTTCTGATATACAAAATTCCTAGGAAACTTTGTGCAATGATTTGAATGAACTTGAGTAACTTGAATCTTAACTTAAGAATCTAAATTGATTGAAGCCCGTTAATTAAATAATTTTCCAAATTGAAAATCTATTGATATTTAATATTCTTCAAGTTTATTTATTCAAATATAAACAATAAAGTCAAGTATGCTTTGAAATAAATCTATTTAAATTTCCTGAAGCTTGATTTATTGATATATTTTTTACATTTTTTAAGTTACAAGTTATTACATTTTGATGCAGTGGTAACCAACAACAAGACCAGCACGTAAATAGCAAAGCCTTTATTCTTTTTTTGTTTGTGCCACAATATCTGTAAAAGCTGCTTAATTGCGAAGAGTGGTGGCGGAAAAATTCCATACATTTGCTTGAAAATTTTAATGAATCAAGCTAGCTAACAAAACAGTTTGCGAAGAAGGGCCAAAAGACTGGATTCGCCTATTCTCGTGCCGTTCGTTCCCCTTCAAAAAAGATAGAAAAAAAGAACGCCAAAGGAAAAACAACCACTGAAAGTGCTGAATAGGCTAGAGCCAATCCTGGTGGATCCGAGGATTCTCCGCCAGCTTTTAGACGCCTTTGCGTCTGGGGCATGCGCTGAATGTGCGCCGGGTGCGAGCGAGATGGCAGCCCTGGTGCGAGCGGGACGGGGCGTGGCCGACGAGCGGAGTAATCGGTGTCCTTGGCTGGGGCACAGGACTCAAGGCTAACCTGTTGACAAACTGCATATTGCGCATACGCCCCGTGAGGCGCCCAAGTCCAACAGGTAAGCCGCTGGCGTAGGCGTTGCACATCCATCCACACAGCCATTGAAATCCGCCCACCGAACCACCGCAACCTTGCCGGATTGATGGCCATCGGAGCTACCAAGGCTAACAAGGCGCCAATAGCATTGATCTGCGTAAATCAAGTTACCAGAATTTCGCACTGCTTGCAATTGCAATGCCCCATTCAGCAACTGAAATCAATGGCCATTACCATTAATGGTAGTAACTGGTGTAACAGCAAACAACCACTTATCACTTACCACTCATCGCTTATTCTATAGATTTGGGTTACAAAATGTTAAAGCAATTTTTTAAACTTGCGTTAATCTACGCTAGTGAGCAATAAACTTAATCTAAGAACAATACACAAAATAGATAAAAATCAAAATACTAATGGGTTTTGTATATTTATGAACAAAGCAGTTGAAATTTTGATCTGATACTTAATACTTTTGATAATACTTCTTGGAAAATATCGAGATAGCCACAAAAGATATGAATTTAAAGTCAAAGGCTTAGCGATCTATATTTAATCGCTCGCACAAACTGACTTTTCCTTGACATTTGCGAAGGTGTTTTGAAAGGATTAGCCACCAACGGCGATTGCACCACCAGAAGTAGCCTCTGTGGGTCGCTTTTCCCCTTTATCAGCGATTCAGCGAGCTGAGCTGTCATTTCCCCTCGAGTGGCAGCAACCCCAAAAAAAAAAGAAAAAAATCCACAAGAGCGAACGCTGTAGTCGAGTTTCCCGACTATCAGATACCCGTTACTCGGCTAGTGGAAGTGCGTACGAAAAATTTCCAAATTTTTCTGGCATATCGATAGAAATTTGGCAAAAAAAAAAAAATTTTTTTTTTTATTATCCGTTTTGGATGGCTTGTGGCAAATCGATAAATATATACCACACTAATACACGAATTTAAAAAAAAACCTCAAAATGCCTTTAAAGTGTAGACGTGGCAGTTTTTTTCTAGCTTTTAAAGTTCCTAAGATCAGATGGACTCTACTAGTGATCCTGATCTAGAATATATATACTTGATATAGTCGGCATCGCATTTGCCTGTTAGACAAGTGAGAGGATTGGTTACATTATTTATATGTTTAATTGCAATGTTATGGTACTAGTACTGCATGTACGGATTCGTCGCTTTATAAATAAGAAAAAAAAAAAAAATTGCCTGTTACGTACTTTTCAACGAGTCTAGTATACCCTTCTACACTGCGAGTAATGGGTATTACAAAAATAAACTTACTCGGTAGTGCCACTCCATCGTATCACCTGGTCGCCATATAAGCCTGTTGCTGTCGCAGCTGCTGATGCTGCTGCTGCTGCTGTTTCGACTGTTGCTGCTGCTGCTGCTGCTGCTGCCGCCGTCGTCATGGACGTCGTTACGGTTACACACTTTCCACTTGTTGTTCCCGGGGGGCGGACTGGGCGGCCTGGGCGGTGTGGGTGGAGTGGGTGGAGTGGGTGGTGTGGGCGGATATCTTCGGGGGGTGGGTTTTTAGCCGAAGTGCCGAAGTAAGGACCCGCCACACGAGGTGGCCTCGTCAGTTGGCCAACTGCGGAGCAACAGATGCTGTTCAACATCAAAGCCAAAAGGTTGTGTGCCTCGCAACAGCAACAGGAGCAACTGAAGCAGCTGAAGCAACTGAAGCAACTGAAGCAACAGCACGGCATCAACATCAACCGCTTACAGTTGAGCATTCAACAGAAGTAGCAACTGGGAAACGTGCAACAAGTCACAGGACAATATTTTTTTTTTCAAAGTGCCAAATATATATGAAGTGTGTTTCTGTGTGTCGAGTTTACAATACATGTACCAGAGTATTTATTTTTTTGTGAATTGAAGGCAATGCAATAGTTATCCGAGCACCCCCATCGAATCACTCAAATTACCTGAAAGCATCCACGGAAGTACAACAAATCAGGATACCATTTACCTGATCTACTCACCATATACCTATAATGATAGCACATTGAACCATTAAGCCATTCACTGAGGACCTGACAAGCAACAGACGCTTTAACATTGATCAAAACATAAAATAACAAAATACAGAATACAGAATACAGAATACAAAGAGAAAAAACTCTGAAGCCAGAGCGATTTTAAATGCGAAAGCCAAGGGAAAAGAAATCATAAGCCAACAAGGTAACCAAAACAGAGGAATCCAATCTCAAACAAGCCTGAAGACAGTAAAAAGACAAATTAAACATGTAAGTAGAAAGAACACACAATATCTGTCTATATTTTCGTATTAAGGCTTAAACATTTTGCTTATTATTGTGAGTTGTTTTACATTTATTTGTTTCATTTACTTACATTTTTGTTTGGCCCGATGTACCAGCAAGTAATACTAATTGCTAAAATCTTCAAGCTATTAAGCAAATTGTTTGCCGTCGATACATCCAAATGCTGCAATTGTTCGTGGCAATTAACATTTAAAGTTTTAGCCGCAGGCGAAGTATCCATTACAGGGCAATTGTTATGCAAATGCATTAAATAAATTACGTTTCTCGTGTTCAGACGCAAAAAAAACACTATTGAACTCTTTAATTACATATGTTTGTGTCACTTTAATTAACTGAGCGAAAATGGCAAGTTCTACAGCAAATACGAATTTACACAACGGCAATATTAATATTAAAAAGAGTAAAATAAATGTTAGCCCTACAGTATTACATTCAATTAAAGTAAATTGTCCTAATTGACTTAGACAAAACTTAGAAAGCAGAGAACATGTTCTCTGCGATTCAGATGAGTTATCTTAATAAAGACCTTCAACTGAAATTCCACTCCCCAAGTGGTTTTTACTTCAAAGCCAAAGCTGATGTAAACTTTCTATTCTCCAGGGTATTTTTGCGAAACATTTCCTTGAAATTTTGGGGGGAAAACTGTTGCTGATGCTTAATCGCAATAATCCGAATAAAAAAATCGAAGTACAGTGAGGTCTGTTTAAAGTTGAGCCAATTTTCCGGTTAATG